TTTTAAAGCCCAGGCTTCCGAGTGAAAGGTTCACAAAGAGGTGCTTGAATCCTTTGTTAACAACTGAACAAACAAATTCATCATCGGGCCGTTCTGTGTGGCCCCCTTGCAATTGGGTCTGTCCTTTTAACAAGAAATTTCCTCACTGGGAAAGCATCTATGACGGATATATCAGATGGGCGAGGACGATATGGTGGCGGAAGGAAAACAAAAGACCATTTCACGGTTCACAGCCTATTTTTGCACTCCCTTAAGTAAAATGATGATGTGCTGCTGCTATTCTCAGCTTACTCAAGTTCTCTTAAACAGTCATGGAGTTAACAGTTACCAAGTTACCCTGAGTGAGTTGCTTAATTCCCACCCCCCAAATAGTTAAAACATACCCTGCTTGCAGTATCATGTACTATTTGTATGTGTTTACATATCAGTGATCAACCTGGCCTTGCACTAGGGAAGAGCAAGTGATTAACTCTTTGCTATGTCATGAGGCTCTTGGACCAAGCCTTTGGCCCCAGACCGTAATTTAACTTCCATGGCGTTTGGACATCCTTTCGTAAATGTTAGCATTTATGGAAAGGGAATATGGTTTATGTTTTTCTTAGATGTCCTCTGGTTGAGTTTCTCTCCTGCTGGTACCAAATATGTCCACTGAGACTTGAGTTTCAGTTACCTTTTATTTCTAGAAATTCTGTTTGATCCCGTTTCAAATTTTCTATGTTGTTCTTTATAGTTCCTATTCTCTGGAGATACTTTCAAACTTGTCATGTCCTTCTTTAAATATAATCATAATTGATTTTATAATCTACATCTGATAATTCTAACACTGCAAGGCTACGCAGATTGGTTTCTGTGGTCTGTTGCTGATCCTTGCTCACGTTGTGTGGTTTCCCAATATGCTACGTTATCTTTGAGTGTGTGCTGGTCATTGCCTTGAAAAATTTTTTTTGGTTGATTCCTAGAGCCCAAGGGTAAACATGCTCTCCTCCAGAGAGGTATTTCATTATTTCTGCCAGGCACCTTGAGCTACAACAGGTACCCAGGATACAAATGCACAGGAGAGCCTTTCTGTGACCACAACTTGTCAGGAAAGATAGTTTTTCCTTTTTCTTCTTCTCATCTGTTCAGTGCCAAGGCTGCCTTCTCCACAATCCCCAAAGACAATTTATTTCTGGTACAATTTTACCCCAAGGGTATAGCTCTTTGGGGCCCCACTTTAGTGGGAAAAGGGTCTCCTATTACACTTCCCAACTAGGGTGGGCCCAGGACCTTACCTTCCAACTCCACTTGCCTACCCCTCTCAGGCTGTGGAAGCCCCTGACTCCTGCCTGCAAGTGGGCTTTATTAGATTAAAAAAATAGAAACTACTATAAAGTACCTAAGAGTTTAAAGGCTGAAAGCAAAACAAAAGGTCAGGTCAGTATTGTAGTCACCCCACGAAATTTAAAACTGAATTACAATTTGGTTCAGCAATTCCATTTCTGGGTATGTACACAAAAAAGCAGGGACTGGAACTGATATTGTACACCCATGTTCACAACAGCCAAAAGGTGGAAACAACCCAAGAGTCCACTGACAGATAAATGGATAAACAAAATGTTGCATAAACATAACAATGGAATATTATTCAGCCTAAAAAAGGAAGGAAATTCCTGACACATGGTACAACGAGGAATATTGAAGACATTACACTAAGTGAAATAAGCCAGATACAAAAGGACAAATATTGTATGGTTCCACTTATATGAGGTACCTAGAGTAGTCATATTTGTAGAGACAGGAAGCAGAGTGGTGGCTGACAGGGGCTGCTGGGCGAGGAATGGGGAGTTAGTGTTTAATGGGTGCAGACTTGCAGTTTGGGAAGATGAAAAAGTTCTGGAGATACATGGATGGTGGTGGTAAATGCACAACAATGTAAATGTATTCAACACCACTGAACTCCATGCTTAAAAAGAGTTACAATGGTAAAGTTTTTGTTAGGTATACTTTACCAAAATAAAAACTTTTTTTTTTTTTAAAAAAAAGGTCAGGCTAATGTTGCTAAGGGCTGCTAGACCTAATCAGTAAATTGCACAATATACCCTGTGTTCCAAGGCTTAATACTGATCAGGGGAAGACTTAGAAGTTAATTGCTGGGGGTCATGAATACAAGTCTAACCTCCCTAGACCTTTGGAGCCACATGCTGAACCTCCATCACTATGCAAAACTAGCACTGCTTGTCGACAAACACATACATAGTTGCAAAGGTCCCTTGAACAAACACAAATGCAAAACATTTTTCTTTAAAGTTATCAGGCACCACAAATGATATAAGGATAGTTATGTGGTGTTGCTATACTATCGATAGAACTGCTAAATAAATATTAGGGGGAAAACTGAAGGGATAAGAGGAAGAATTCTCTCTAAAGTATTTCCATGGAAAAAATTGGAGAAATTTCTTTCAGCATCTGTTGTACTGTTGTACCTCCCCCTTCTGAATCACTACATATAATTCTAATACAGATAATATATATACTTATAAATAAATATAAAGGGGGAATGAGATCAATTCACACTTAACACATTTTAAGATACCAACACATGTTTAAAAAACATGCATTTTAGTAATTCTGGGCATCTCTAAATTTCTCCCGTTTTCAAAAAAAAATTAAACAGCTCAGCTCAGAAAATTTTATGGACATTTATGGCTATAAAGAGCAACACCAGGTAAAACTACAAAATAAAAAACTGGCAACAGTAGAAGCCATATTCTTCATTATGACATCATGAATGGCATGTGGTGAGGGCCTCTATGTTGCAAATACAAAATCTTACTTGCTTAGTGCATGAAAAAGACCTCAGGAAAGTTGTCTCTTAACTGGAAGATTCTTTCTACTTTTAACACATAAAGATAATGGCTAATACTTGCTCACTGCTTATTATGTGCCAAGAACTGCTGTAAGTGCTGTATATCCCTATCTATCTATCTACTTACCTACCTACCTCTATATCATCTTTACCTACATTAACTCATTTATTCCTTACAACAACCCTCTAAGGTATGTACCATTGTTATTCCCGTTTCAGAGGTGGGAAAATCGAGGCAAAGGGGAGTGGGTTTTCCCAAGGTCACACAGCCAGTGAATGGTAGAGCTGGGATTGGAGCCCAGGCTCTGGGGCCCGTGCTCTTAACTATCATGCTCTATCACCTCTCTGCATAAAATATGGAAATTCAGGGACGATGGCAAGTGTTGGACACTTTACATATTTTATACAATTTCATTTTTATAACCAGATCATCCTTTTTTTTTTTTTTTTTTTTTTTTTTCAGCCAAGGAAACTAAAGTTCAGAAAGATTAAGTTTATATAAGAATCGAAGATAGTAACAGATGGAGGTGGGAGTGAACCCATCTATCTCTGTCACCAAAGTTTCAGGATCTGGTGCAAAGAACAACATCCCTATGGTGAGAAGTTATGAGAAGGCTGGTAAAGCAAAATCAAGGAGGCTTTGCTTTGCACAGGAAGTAGAAAGAAGCACATGCCTACAGGTGCAGAAGCACAGAGTGGCTTGGTATCTGGTGGATGAGAACTGCCAGGTTACAGGGAGCAGACAGGTGATAAAAGGGCAGAACTAAAGTTAAAGATTAAGTTTATATAAGAATCGAAGATAGTAACAGATGGAGGTGGGAGTGAACCCATCTATCTCTGTCACCAAAGTTTCAGGATCTGGTGCAAAGAACAACATCCCTATGGTGAGAAGTTATGAGAAGGCTGGTAAAGCAAAATCAAGGAGGCTTTGCTTTGCACAGGAAGTAGAAAGAAGCACATGCCTACAGGTGCAGAAGCACAGAGTGGCTTGGTATCTGGTGGATGAGAACTGCCAGGTTACAGGGAGCAGACAGGTGATAAAAGGGCAGCAGGTGGGCGCCTCCAAGTTCCACTTCCTCTGAGATTCCAGAATCCATATTTGCCCGGTCCTCCATCACCCTGTTTTTCTAGATTTCTGTTTAACCACACACACGGGCAAGGAAGGTAACACTTCTCAAGCTGTGCATCCCAGATGACCCTCGCACAAAGATCCTTGTTCTAAAACTGGATAGATGGGAGGGATCCAGTATATTTTTCATACTGAAAGGGCTAAAAGTCAGGCAAAGCATGTGCTCAGATCATTAGTTTTTTTTAGTGCTACTGCACTTCTATTTATAACAAAGTTATTAGCCTTATAAACGTGGTGCATCTTTGTGAGACAAAGCATCAAATAACCATGACTGTGATTACTGCTAGTGTCACCACCATTCATTGTCACTTACCTGTGGGCAAGGCACTGTGCACAAGCAATAGATCATTGAAACCCCACAAACACGTGCATCAGAACTTCTGCCAAAGAGCAAGGACCCACATCGGGATTGCCTGGTGTGCTTGTTAAATGATGAACACTCTTGAACCCCAACCTAGTCCTACTCAACCAGAATCTCAACGGGAGGGCCAGGGAATCAGCACTTTAAGAGTCATTCCCAGTGATTCTTATTTTGGCCTGTGTTTCCTCATTTTACGTACAAGGTATTAAGAAATGATAACTTCACTAAATAACAGGATATACACTCATCTGGACTTTAGAATCTGTGCTCTTAACTGCTCTATGGCTCAAGCTTCAACAATGAAGCCTGTGACTAAAACAGGCACAAAACAAGCAAGATCACCTTTAAAACCCATGAGATCTGCCACCACCAGCCTGCATGATGTCATAGAGTTTCCCAAACTATTATTCTTGGTAAGCATACAGGAAGGTTTCTTACTTTAAATTAAAAAAAAAATTAACAATGCATTTTACTTCCCCTGCCCTCATAACAATTCATTTCATTTTAACAAGATTTAGGGATCTTCTAGCAATTTCAATGCTTCATCACATGAAACTGCCTGTACTAGAAGAGCAACCAAATCCCTGCGGTAAAATGAGACCAACGTGGGAAGCTTATCCGCAAATGATTAGAGAGGCAGAGCTATAACTACAGCAATCTCTTACCACAAGACGTGGACTTCCTGTCCACCAGATTCACACGCCTGGTTTCGGTGCGAAGTTTCTCATCGGTATTCTCCACCAGGTTGGCAAGGTCATCAATTATCTCTATAAAGGAAAACAAAGATGCATGGTTAATACTCCAAACATACCTGGGCTCACATCAGAGCCTCATAGCTGTGGTGGTCCTTCCTAGTAATAATTCTCTCAACTGCAGTGAGTGAGAAGGTTTTAAAGAACTCGTGTATATTCTCTGAAAACTGCAATTCTGATTCATTAAAGGTTGGGGGTGGGGTCGGGAGGGAAGGAGTAGTAAAGAAAAAAACAAGTTCAACACAATTCCAGGAGACAGAGGAGAAATGTCAAAAGTTCAGGGGAAAGAAAGCATGACCCAACAAATTTATGCCCAGCCAAGTTGTCACTGGAGTATAAAGACGGCAGACAGACGGTATAGAGGACTTCAGGGACCACTGGGATCCTTCTTAAGAAAACTACTTGATGATGAAATCTAGCCAACCAAGAGGTGAATAAAAATACAGAACTCTGGGCTGGAGAAGCCAGAGGCCATGACATAAGAGATGATGGTGAGAACTGAATCCATTTAAATACTGAGCTGAGAACAAATAAGTATATGGATCAGGTTACAGAAAAGTAGACAGTGACAATGGAATTATAGGTGAAAATCAGGAAGCAGTTGGGGGGCGGTGGCAAGAAAGGTAAGCAGCAGCTAAGATGTTAATTTCTTCATCACTCACAGCAGAGTCATATCAAGCTGTTGGAAAGTAAAACATATAGAGACTTACAGCTTTGTAAAAATCACCAAAGCTTCAATGTTTTATGCTATTATTTTGTTAACCTTAAATGGATCTTTTAGCAATTTACTACCTCTTGGAGAGAACTCTTCAAGTTTTTTTTTTTTTTTTTTTTTTTTTTTGCGGTACGCAGGCCTCTCACTGTTGTGGCCTCTCCCGTTGCGGAGCACAGGCTCCGGACGTGCAGGCTCAGCGGCCATGGCTCACGGGCCCAGCCGCTCCGCGGCATGTGGGATCTTCCTGGACTAGGGCACGAACCCGTGTCCCCTGCATCGGCAGGCGGACTCTCAACCACTGCGCCACCAGGGAAGCCCCTGAAGTTTATCTTTTAAAAGTGAAATTAAGCACTTAATATTAAAATAGCATATATAATATGACCCTAATTATGTAAAATTATTTCTATCCCTCCTTTTATACATACGAACCTGTAAGGATATATCCAGACAGTGTTAACCTAATGTTAATAATGACTATTTCTAGGTGGTGTGATCCTGGGTGATCTTCCTTGTATTATGTTTTATTTGAATTTCTTATAATGAGCTCTATATACTATTTTTTTTCAATTTTGGTTCTTTTTCCTCCCTCCTTCCCTCTCTCCCTTTTTAGTGATTGCTTTAGAGATATGTTGTCCAATACGTTACCATTTTTCTTGAAGAATGAAATAAAACCCACAAGGAAGTCAAAGAAAGTTTTCAGAAAGTTGTTTGAGCTCAGTTTTGACGGCCATGTATGTGGGTGAAGAAGCAGGAATAGTGCGACTCATGCAGAAAGAGTAGCATGTGAAAGGCACAGAAGAGTTGGGAGGTCTTTCTTCCAGCTCCTACAGCACTTCCTACAATCTTTTTACTTAGAGACCCTTTTTTTTTTGTATTGAATTATCTGTTTGCATGTCTTTTACAGAAAGAGTACGACAGACACTAACTTTTATTCACCTCTGTATCTCCTATCCTTAGGAGAGTGCCTAATATACAGCAAGATAAACACTAAAAGATAAAGGCCGTGAATGAATGGAGTGTAAAAGATAAAAGCACTGAATAATTTCAAAGCATTGAATAATTTGCTGCTTCTTAGAAAACTGGATCTAAGCCAAATTTGCCCAATATTATCTGTACAACACCTGCCTAGAAAATATTTCACTATTATTTAACGATCCATTCATAACTATTTCCTTGTATTCAATGACATACTCTCCCAGTTTCCCTTTCACTTATCTGTAAGCTCTGTCTAGTCTCCTCTTCCTCTTAAATGTTGGTGATCCCCAGAATTCTGTATATTTCTACTCTATTTTAGTTTTAAACTTAAAGTTTTAATATTTAAATTCAATAATTTAAATATTTTAATATTTAAAATATTAAATTTTTAATTTAAATATTTTTTAATTAAAAATTTTTTTTCTGCTCTACATAGCTCTCCAAAAATCCTTGACTCATATAGCCAACTGCTTACTACTTATCTCTACCTTGAAATTCCTACAAATATCCGACTTTCAAGGTCTCTAAAACTAAACTCTTCATCTTCCCTCAAACTGGACTCCCCTATCTTCGCTGCCTCAGTTAATGGCACCACTATTCATTTTTGCTTGCCCAAGATGGAAATCTTTTTTCTTTCCCCCACTGTGTTGGGTCTTCACTGCTATGCATGGGCTTTCTCTAGTTGCAGCAAGCGGGGGCTACTCTTCATTGCAGTGCGTGGGCTTCTCACTGTGGTGGCTTCTCTTGTTGCAGATCACGGGCTCTAGGTGCATGGGTCTCAGTAGTTGCAGCAAACAGGCTCAGTAGTTGTAGCGCGCAGGCTCTAGGGCACGCAGGCTTCAGTAGTTGTGGCGCACAGACTCAGTAGTTGTGGCGCACAGGCTTAGTTGCTCTGCAGCATGTGGGATCTTCCTGGATGCACTGGCAGGCGGATTCTTAACTACTGTGCACCACAATCAGTAGCCCCCGCTCGCTGCAACTAGAAAAAGCCTGTGCATAGCAACAAAGACCCAACGCAGCCAAATATAAATAAATAAATAAATAAATTTATATTTAAAAAAATAGACTGACAATACTAATTGTTGGGGATGATTTGGCACAAAGTTAACTGAAGAAATATTTGTCTGTTCTACTCCAGCTAAGCATATATCTACTCTATGACCCAGAAATTTCACCCTTAGGAATTTACCAAACAGGAATAGAAACATGTTTCTCAACAAGACTTGTACAGAGCTTCCCTGGTGGCACAGTGGTTGAGAGTCCGCCTGCCGATGCAGGGGACACGGGTTTGTGCCCCGGTCCGGGAGGATCCCACATGCCACAGAGCGGCTGGGCCCATGAGCCATGGCCGCTGAGCCTGCACGTCCGGAGCCTGTGCTCCGCAGCGGGAGAGGCCACAACAGTGAGAGGCCCACGTACCGCAAAAAGAAAAAAAAAAAAAAAGACCTGTACAAAAATATACCCAACAGCGATACTCATGAGAACCCAAAACTAGGAACCACCTAATATCCATCAATAGGGGAATGGATAAGCAAACTGTGGTATCTGTACTGTTCAGTAATAAAAAACAAAGAGCTTCTTACAATTGTAACAACTGTTACTTTGTTGGCTAAATAAAAAATAAATCTCAAAAGCATTTTGTTGGTGAAAATAAGCAAGTAATATATACTTAATAATTCCATTTATATAAAGTATGAGGACAAACCTAATCTACTAGATAGAAATCAGAAAGCCGCTGCCTCTGGGGTGGGGATGGAGGGGACTGACTGGAAAGGGAGAAGGGGGAATTTTCTGGGAAAATGGAAATGTTCTAAATTTTCTCACAAACGTATGCAGTTGTCAAAATGCATGGAACTGAACACTAAGGTCTGTACACTTTGTTGCATGTAAATTATACCTCAATTAAAAATGTAAAGCAGAAACAACAAGGACCTGTTGTATGGCACAGGGAACTATATTGAGTATCTTGTAATAACCTACAACGGAAAAGAATCTGAAAAAAAATATATATATAACTGAATCTCTTTGCTGTACACTTGAAACTAACACAACATTGTAAATCAACTATACTTCAATATAAAGTTGTTTGAAAAAAATACATATATATATAAATTAGGAAAAAAACAGAAGTTTACAATATCATGATACTTCTAGGATTTTCCAGAGAGGAAGAAAAAAGGGAGGGAGGGAGGAAGGCGGGCAGGCAGGTGGGTGGGCAGGCAGGCAGGGAGACCTGCTGCAAAGACAAAGCAAATGACTTAGAATAACAAAATTTTCCAGCTGCAAGAAGTCAGGGGATCATCTTGTAGCTCCTCCCCCTTAACAATCCCCCTCCCACCCAGCTCCCCACCCAACCCCGTGCCAGTAACAGGGAAGCTCGTGAGAAAATCAATTCCATGGCTGAGCTGGAGGGTGCCTGTAATTACAAGTTTCTATATTTCGAGCTGAAAAATCTGCCGGCTTTTAACTTTCACCTTCTATTTCTAGAACAACACAATTCCAGTGTTCTTCCTTCCAGAAGACAATTCTCCTTGTATAACTCCTTAGTCTTGTCTTCTCAGCTACAGACACTTAGCTCTGAACATTAACAGATTGTCAGAGGAAGTGCTTTCTAGATCTTGTGACATCTTGATGCACCGGACACTGTATTCATCTTAAAATGTGACGCGAGGACTTGGATCCATCGTTTCAGGTTCTGGCCAGTCAGCACAGAACACACTGAGTTTAGACAGAGTAACATATATAAAAGTCACTATTTTTAAGTTCCATTCCTCATGTCCTATCAGGAGATTCCACAGTAACAGCTATGCTTCCTAGAGTTGCTTGGTCCATTGTTCTCATGCAAATGATTACAGTTGAGATTGCATGATATGTTTTTTTTTTTCCTTTCTTTTTGCGGTACGCGAGCTTCTCACTGTTGTGGCCTCTCCCGTTGAGGAGCACAGGCCCCAGACGCGCAGGCTCAGCGGCCATGGCTCACGGGTCCAGCCGCTCCGCGGCATGTGGGATCCACCCGGACCGGGGCGCGAACCCGCGTCCCCTGCATCGGCAGGCAGACTCTCAACCACCGCGCCACCAGGGAAAACCCGCATGGTATGTTTTAATGTCACAACATGTAATATAAAATTTAGACTTAATAAGCTTCTAGCACTATAAGAAAGTCAAGTGCAAAATACTCCTTGTCAGATACTAAACACAAATACAGTATGTCAGCTGTTATATGTTAACTGGGTTTCTGGATAGAGTTCTCATTAAATTTGTAAATATTCATAACAGAGGTAAATACAAAATTGGTAGAGGATTAGCTAAGCAACAATCAGTAGTC